CAGCACTCTTTTTACTGAGCAAGAGAAGTTAATGATTAACTGTTTATTACATTAGTCTGTGTTCTCAACCATGTACCATATTATGTGGAATAAACTACTTCTTACTTTCTATATGTGTGTAAACCTTTCCTATTTATGACACAATATTATTGTGTTTTATTATAAAATAGCAGTATCATTCTATCAATGGTTAACATTCATGGCCGAAAAAAAAAAACGTTTCAGAAGAACAGTTATTCCCTCAACACTGCTATTACTATATACACTTTAGACTCCGTTGGCAAATGATCCAATGAAAACCATGCAATTTCCAAGAGCCTCGGCATTAATACCAAGAAAAATTCTTGCACATTCTCAATAAGAAAATCTGAAATCTTGTTTCATTCAATGCTTCATCAAATACTTTGACTTTGTGTGCTTCTTTTCTTAACTTAAGAAAAGAGATGAATGATGGAATTTTCACTGGTGACCCTGTATTTTTTAACTGTCTTCTTTCAGCATCTCTATATTTAAGATGCTCTATCATCCACTATACAACATTAACAAAAATGCAGTGGCTTGTCTTCTGTCCTGCAAAGATCATTAAATGCACCATGAAAAATGTTGTGGAATAGCTGAACACTCTCACAAGATGAACTGGTCTAAGACTATTTAAACAGTACCCTCTCTTACTGAGTTTGGAGGGTAGTTAACAATTAACTGTTTATTATATTTTTCTGTGTTCTCAACCGTGTACCATATTATTCTCCGGAATAAACTACTTCTTACTTTCTATACATGTGTCAACCTTTCCTATTTATGACACAGCATATTTGAAGCTTTTGAATAAGCTGTTGCACATCCAATTCTGATGTGGAAGATGAGGTCTTGTTTGAAGTGATAGGACAACCTCAAGCACTTGTATATTGTCCTTCACAAAGCACTATCAGTCATCACCTCCATAAACTTGGCCTTGTGAACAGATGCTGTTGAGAAGTTCAGCATGAACTAACCAATGGCCAGGTTCAACGGCTGTGTGAACATTTGCAAACAACTGCTGGCAAATCCTTAAGATGCTTGTTTTTGCCATCAAATTGTAACTGGGGAGGAAAAATGTATTTTCATAATCCTAATAACAGAAATCTGTGGCTTCGTTCTGGCCAGGCTTCAGATCTCGTCAAACAAGGGTGGTTTGGTTTTGAGGGGTGGGAGTGTTATACTTTGAGCTTGTCCAAGATGGTCATACTGTCAATGTTGTCATTTATGTTCAACAACTGCAGTGAGTATGTGGTCATTGGTCAATTGAAGATGCACATTCCAATAGCATGACAATGCCTCAGCACACACTGCCAATGTGGCAAAATGAAAACTTGAGGGGTTGGAAGTGCTGCCCACAGTTCAAACATAGCACCATCAGATTGCCACCTTTTCTGAGCCATGGCTCATTTCCTGCGTGAATGGAGGTTCAACAATATGGATCAGGTTGAAAATGGGTGCAGAGAGTCTTTTGCTTCTAAAACAGCCAAATGGTATAGACAACTTCTAGCTCAACAATGGAATAGGATGGGATATATTTTGATGAATAAACACTTTTCATCTGTAATTTGTTTGAACTATTAAAGCTTGAAATATGAAAAAACTTTTTCAAAAGTATAAATTCATAAAAATGAGGATCATATATTCATGTCACTGTGAAAAAAACATTTTGTTTGCTTGCTTCTCTCTACAAGGATCATGTAGTCAAAGACACTTTGATCAGAAAAGCTTTAAAAAAGAACAAAAAATAATCGAGATAATAATGATTCTTTTTCTTCTTGTTCATCATTATCATTAATAATAATTTATTTTGTGCAAATTATTTACATTTAAATTATTTACAATCATTTAACAATATCCTCAAAAGTACAGTGGAAATTAAAAGCCAACAAAGTCCTGTCAGAGAAATCATTTCCAGTTTGACATGATATTCAAAATTGGCTCCACATTAATAGGAAAAATAAATTTGTTTTTCAGCCAATGAAAAGCTTTAAAAACATTTAAAGAAATTCATCTCTCCATTCCAATTTTATGATCAATCTTTGAAATAGAGATTCAATGGTAAAGCCAAACAGAGAGTGACCTTGAGCTGTACAGCAGTCTAGCTATTTCTTTCTCATTATGAGACACCTGATATTACCTAACATCAATGGAAACTGACAGCTGGTAACAATAAGAAAGAACTTTTTCAATTCAACTTTCATTCATACACTACTTCTCTTTACTACTTTCAAATCAACTCAAAAAGACAACCTACTTTGGAAGTATCTGATTTCAGAAATTTTAATTCTACAATTTCATTCCTACAAAAATATTTTTAATTCATACAAAATGTATTACACACAAAAGAAAGGAAAATGTTTGTAAGTAAATAAATGTTATTTGTGACATGTTGATGAAACTTGTTTTTTTTCTTTTATCTGATTACAAATATCTAAAAGTTTTAATGGGCGTTAATACTTTGTATTGTGGTTACCAGTTAATTGAGGTAAAAATCATTGTATCAGTGTAGGTCAACAAATAATGGAGATTAATAATATGATGCCAGGCCAAGTTAATCCAGATAACAGGTGAGCTATGTTAGAAATGTTTATTCTGACAATTGCATTTTCCCATTATGGGCATTATTATAGCCATGATATAATAACACTTTATTTCATGGCCAGAAGCTGAATGGAATAGCTGAAAGAAAAGGAATGACAAACACTCTTTCTTCTCAGAGTTTTATACCACTAAGTCATACACAACATTATATATACATATTTACATGTGTCTCACACAGAGAAAATATGACATATGGAACAACAAGCAGAGGGAAAAGAGAACAAAAAAATAGGGTCTTACATATAATATGGAAATTCTTCTGTGTTTTTGGAGAAGACATATTTAGGATTCCAGATTTGAGTGGGCTGGATTTATCTGCTATGTTGATATCAAGGATATATTCCACAAATGTGAAAATATAGCGATTGCTATGTTTTTCACACCCACATACACTCCAAGTCATTTTAATTGCCTGCGATTGGATAATAAATTACTACTACCTTTGTATAGGACAATTTAGCCATCGCAGTTGTTCCTTTGAATTTTTTGGTTCTGAGCATACTCACCTATTCTGTTTAGTACGAGTGTAGTGATTGGTTAATTTTTAACCAATCACATATTTTTAATGTAGGATCAAGTTTTCCTGCGGTTCTATGGGAGCCTACCTTTTTTCCTTAAAAGGGGTGACTTTTCGCAAGTCACCAGTAAGATCCAATAAGATTCCAGCTATCAACACAAATCCACAATCTTGCTCAATGCACATACAGATACAAAATTTCGTAACTACAAACTTACATTTTCTCTGTAACTTTTGCCAAGCACAATCAACCAGAACTTTGTTGGTTCAAACCAGTTTATCCACAACACATTTCAAGCAACTGTATTTCTTTGTGTTATTCATTCTTCACATGCAAACTTTGCTCTAACAATTATTTTGGAACATTTATCTTACAAGAGAACTTTCTTCAAACAATTAATTACAATCAATCTACAGTTAAAGGGAAATAACTTCCTTCTCTTTAATCTACATTGTGAATATGATTTTTGCTTGTTGTTGTATTTTATTTAATATATATTTGTTGGTTAACAAATTGGAGTTGTTATTATTACTTGAATCCTGTATGTGGAAGTATCATTAATATAAATAGTAGTAGTACCTATATATTTGGTATCCCGCTACAAAAAGGTGTCTTTGGTTTTTCTCAATATGAGGGCTGCAAGCTGGAGATAGTTAATTTCTATATTTGGGGAAGATATATTCCCAAAGGACAACAGGGTCATGGGCTTGTAAACTGCACCATGTGGCAGCTGGTTGCCTTGGGCAGAAGCCTGGGTGAGGCAAGTGCTCTGTTTGACTTTGAAAGATAACTGAAGGACTGTCACTTTCATCATTATACAGTGACGTCACTAAGCAGCTGTCATGTGACCCATGGGACTTCATCTTCACCAAGGAGAAATAATTACCTTTTGTATAACCACAGTCTTAAATCAAAAAAGCTGATTTCTCAAACTTTGTAGACATACATAAAAAATCCCAAAACTCCTTCCCTTAAAAACATCAACTCACTTAAAACTCATAGCCACCCCATTAAAACATGACCTAACCCATAATATTTTGTTTACACTATTTGCATGACTATTGTCCTCATCTTTGTTGTTGTTATCACAAGGTTTCCGCTATTGTGCCCTCTGGACTTCATTAGGTGTATGTTGCTTGGGATAACCTGCAGGGAATCCTGAAGTGAACATTTTTATTTAATCTGTGGTAGACTGTTCTCATTTCACTGCCCATGTTTCGGAATATCTTGTCTAGTTGTTATTTGTAGTACTGCTCAGTTAAACTCTGTATTCACTGACTCCAAGTACACACAATCTGGCCCAGGGATTGAACTTGCAATTACTATGTCACTGAATTCACTTTAATCCATTAGGCTATTTATTGCACCCTTAACATTTTGTAGAAATAAAACTTTCTATGTGAATTCACTGCAAATTTCAAATCTACATTAAGCTGGAAATCAAACTAGAAAAGAAAAGTTTATAAAACCATATAAAAATTATTATTTGTAGTTTCAATAAATTATTATTATTATTATTGTAATTTTTTTCTAGTTTAAGTTGATTTGATTTGTTTGTTTTTCCGCCAAGAGAAATTTGTTGTGGACACATTCGTTGAGGTTCCTTAATTTTTCGACGCAAAATTGATCTAAAAGAAAATAAATCACTAGAAAGAAAATTCAATGAATAAAATTTGTTTCCGTATCAAAAATTACTTTTGAAAAAAAATTAATATCACAGTAATCAAGTACATAGATAAAAATAAAAAATCTATATCGTTTGTTTAAAGCCATAGAATTTTTTTTGGCAGGGGTTCAGCTGAAGGTCGAATGTAGAGGAATCGTCTATATTGTGACTCAAGACAAACACAATAATAATACAAAATGGCGGATATTCGACTTGCCAGTGCCTGTGTACGAACTGCGGATGTAAACCCAAATCGTCAGGAGCTCGATAATCTGGTCACACCTGGTGATATAATCACATCGGACACTGGTTTTATGCGGTGAGTTAATATTACTATTGATTTATTGAAAAAAAAAAAAGGTTTTCGAGGTGTCAGAACAACCTGGCTCATCACACGCACGTGGATTTTGTATTGTGTTAGGTAATTTATTTTGTAAAGTAAAAAGGAATAATAATTGTTTACAATACATGAGATTAAAATTTCTGCTGTTTTTGTTAAATAACTAAGGAACATTGTCTTTTGAATAAATTTCGATATTTATTGAAATTCTCGACACAGCCTCGCACGCACGCTCTTTTTATTTTTGGTAATTTAGAGTTAGACTATTTTTATACCCATCTTACGATGCATTTCCCAAATTGTCATCAATGTTTATTGAATCGATTAACAGTTATTTTTGCTGAAATGTATTTGAATTTGAACTTCGTTTATTAAATACTTACCACGTGCGATAATTTGTTTTTAAACTGCAAAGGAGGTAACGAGGTAGGATTTTAAATTCACTGCTTGAAATAATTTCTACATAACAAACACTGAATTATCTCCCTTAGATTTATCTTAATTTTCGTGGTGTTGTCAAGTTTAGCGCTTCAAACGATTTTTTTTGCATGTCTAGCATATATAACGCTTTTACATGCCGCTTAATTTTATTTGATATTCCTGGTGTTCCTTTGGATGATGTGAAGAATGCTGTTCCTACAGTAAAACGAAAAATAAAGTGACGTTCGTAATACAATCACTTTTTGTGATGTGTGTAGTTGTAATGTATAATTATGTAAGTTCACGCCAAGATGTGATCATCCTGACAACACGTAGATCGTGTTAATTATGACTGAAAAAGTTAACGTGTCTTCACAGATTCGTTAAAAAATATAGCATACCCTTATGAAAAAAAAAAAAAAAATGCCCGAACTTAATAAAAACAAAGTTTATTCTCAAAATCTTTGTTATTATTAAGAGGAAAGACAAAAGGATATTTTCATTATTAAATTATATTTTTTTTATCCTTTTTTTTTTTTTTTTAGGATGTCCGAAATTTTGGTTAAAAACTTGTTTTTCTAGCGACAGTAGGGAAATTTTAGCGCCTCTTTTGCGGTAAAAACATTGATTTGGAAATTATTATAAAAATCAAATATTTGTCGGAATGAAACTTTCAAGACTTATTCAAAAATAAATTATTTTAGAAATATTTCGTTTTTAGAATTTCTTCGTAAAAATATGTAATTTATGTTCCAATTTAGTTTTGAAGGCTTTCTCTCTGATAGTTACCGAGTAAGTAGTTTTTATCATAGATTAAAAAGAAACGTACCAGGACGTTGTTTTTTTATAAGCTTAATTTAAATAATTCTTAATTTTATTATTAAATTCAATTGGTTTGCGATGCGGAATTTAATTCTTTAAAGAATAAAAAACGCATCTCACACCCAATTCTGCACGCCAAATATTGAATTATCTCCCTTACATACACGTAATATTCTGAACTTTTGGATTCACACATTCGAAATTAAATTGAAAAAAAAACAAACAAAAAAAAAAACTGTTTGAAATGCAATAATTTAATTTACTTCAATTATTTTCCCCGTAAGTAACGAATAAAATTTAATTGTGAACATATTTTTCAATTATTGATTTTCCAAATTCTCAATGAGGATTTATATTATTAATCAACTTATGAAAGGGAGCTAAATCATTGTTTTGTGTGAAGAAATTGTTTGAAACACTGAATTTAATAAGGCCGGAAAATTTTAAATGAACAGGGAACGCGTAAAAAGGAAATAAAAGAATCTCGTCATTCTTAATTAAGATATTCTTTTCTTTGTTAAAAATTCCTTTTGATTCAAAGGATCAATCAGAAGCCGGTCATGTACAGTAAGTGTTGCGAAACACTGCCTAGTCTCGCAACCCAAATTTCAGTCAGGGATCAATTAATAATAAAGAGAGCCTGCAGAACGTCTCTGTTATCATAAAGTCTCTCTCACACAAAAAAATGATGAGAAGAAAGGGAAGGCAGGCCTTAAGTAACAAGGTGGCAGACCTGTGCATCCCATCCCTTCTGATAAAAAGATTACAAAAACCAGTGCTTGGAGCAGCCTTGCTTTGAAAAAACAAGCTATGGCAAACATGCCGCCTTTCATGTCTGACTGCAACCCAACGTATACAGGTAATTTTACTTATTTTCCTACATTTTTATGGAGGAAGAATATGAGTCTCATTAAAGAAAAATATAATAATACAAAGAATGTAATCTACAATGTGGTCCGAAAGTCTTGTCACCCATATATAATGTAATCTATTTCAGATGGCTGACATGAAAATGATGGTGTTCACACAGACCTTCTTGATGTGTGTCAGTGAAAGTGAATAAACTGAATCAAGTACATGTGCTTTGTATTTCTGTATTACTTGTTCTTCTATTCTCATCACTTTCTGGTAGAAGGTGAAAAGACTTTCGGACCATTCTGTAGTGATTGTTGTGCTGAAATTGTTTAGAGTGGTAAAATGAACAATATCTAGATTTTTTTAAATATATTCATTTCAAGCATTGTCTTTTTAACATCCTAGACAAGCATAGAATGCCCCCCACCATGTTTTCCTAATGTATTATTTGCCAAGCTTCATTTTTTTTATCACAAACATTAAGTAGTTATATTTAAGATAAATGATATTGCATCCTTAACACGATTTCTCATTTTATTTCTGCTGCATAACATTTAAATCCAAAGAGAGGACTTAGAATATGAGGCTCGGTAAAGAAGTCCAAATATAAAAAGAGGTAATTCAGTGTTTGGTTTGCAGAAATTGTTTCGGATTGTCAAAATTAACAATGCTCACAAAGTTATTGTGGAAGATGGTTAATGAAACTAGATTTGGTTTAGATAAAATAAGAAGAAGACGCAGCTGGTAGCCACATTAAATAAATTTATTATGTTTTATTATAGCTGCACTTCTCAGAAAGCTCTATTGCTTTGCGAATAATAAAATTTATGGTTTTTTTTTTTTTTTTTTTTCAGTGGTCATGGCACTTACATGGAGGATGATCGTCTACATGCATCAGTGGCAGGTGTTGTTGACAGAGTCAATAAATTAATTTGTGTACGACCTTTGAAAACAAGGTAGATGCTTTTGGTACATCTTGGATTCTTCGTTTGTCTGATTTTATACAGATATTTAAAAAAGAAAATGAAATATTGAAATTAATATCTCGTTTGCTTTTTTAGTCATCCTTTTTGTTCAAAATGTATTTTTTGACGTCCATAATGAAGGGAGATAATTTCTTAGGAATTATCTAACTTCTCTGTGTTTCACAGGGGAAAAAAATTAAAAAAAAAAGTAGCCTATAGTTAATATAATTTCAAAAGTGATATACATGTAATTTTTTTTTTAAAGGATTCAATACTTTGACTTCATCGTGCAGACAATGAAATCTCTTTCACAAATGTTAACAAAGTTAAATTTCATTTCTTGATGAAGACGATTTCCAATTTTTATAAGATTTATTTTTTTATTTTTAATCATTTAACTATTTATTAATTCTGTGTCCTGTCAGGATGTAGGTAATAAGGTTTCATCATGGATCACTTTCCTTTTCATTATCTCTAAATTGCTATGGTTTCTTGGGAAAGATCGTGGAGTGGTTTCTCTGTTGCCTTCTCCATGGCTTTGAATACAGAATTTTTTTTTCTAGATTAACTGCCACCCTTTTAGATAAACTTTTGTTAAATATGGGCTGCCACCCTTTTAGATAAACTTTTGTTAAATATGGGCCCTTGTACATGCACTAACCATAGTTATATTTTTGATAATTATTTCATGTAAAATGATTTACTAAATTTATTCTGGGTTCTTATATCTCTGGATTACCAGGATAAATGACAATTTTTGGAGATCTGTTTTTTCTCTCTTTCTATATCTCTCTCTCTCTTTCTATCATTCTCTCTATCTCTCTCTGTTTTTTTCTCTCTCCTCTCCCTTTTTTTTAAATTTCTTCTCTTTTTTATCTCTTCTCTCTTTCAATATCTGTAAAATGAAGTGATACTCAAAATTGTAGGGTCTTCATCAATCTGTTCATCTATCAAATTACCCAGCATTCCTTGTGTCATTCCAGACATTTCATACATCTCTTGAAATCAATCCACCAGTAAATTCTTTCTTTGAGGAAACCAATTTTACACCTTAATTTTTTCAAACTTTTGGGTAGCACCTGATATAGCAGTTTAAAAAATTTTCGGTATCATTTTTATGAAATAAAGCATTTTCATTATTTATTTTTGGAGTAATTTTCATCTTATTGTAACTTTTTTTTTTTCACAATGTTCTGGCTCAATGCACTCTTTATCTTTTTAAAGTAAACAGTCTAAACATAACCAATTCAGCCATAGAAAACTGATATCTATACATCTATTGCCATTCCTTCTTTTGATTCATAGAAGATAGACTCTCAAGCTGTGGGGAGTAAGCTCAAGTTTTATTAGTCTATTATACTTTTACAGTGTTGACTTTAATGGTTGAAGAGGATCTCAACTGAGAATATTGTGATAAAAAGATGAAGAAAATTAGTCAAAAATTAAGTCATGAACATTATTATCATTATTTAGTTAATTTTATTTTTTTTAGTTCTCATGTTATTGACTTGTTATTTCATTATAACTCAGGGCACTATATTTAGTTGCTGTGATTATTATATTTTTTGTCCTCTGAAGAGTGAGGAACATAAACTGGTTAGCTTTTTTTTTTTTTTTTTAAATTTAATTTTTGCTTTCCTAGTTTATGGTAAATAATTTTTTTCATCCCCAATAGATTTCTATATATTATATGTTTATAAAATATCCATTTTTATAAAGCCATAATGAACTTTTGTAGCCTGTATAAATTACTTTTGCTTCTTCTTAAGTTTGATTAAATTATTTTTATCTTAATTTTTTTAGTTGCTTTTTATAGAAACTTTACTCAGGCCATGAGTAGGGGAGAACAGATCAGAAATAAAAGTTTGGGCAACGGTGAGATTCAATCTCAAGTCTTTTTGACTACCTGCATAGTTGCAATAAAAACTGACTAAAAAAGAAGAAAAAGGGACCTAAATAAGAGTCAAAATTAGTAATGATCGGCAATGTGAAAAGATTAAAAAAAAAAATTACTCCCCTTGCTAATTTTGTGTTTGTTTCATTTCAGGTATCATGGAGAAGTTGGAGATGTTGTTGTTGGCCGAATTATTGAAGTTGGTCAGCGTAGGTGGAAAGTTGACACACATTCCAAATTGGATTCAATTCTCATGCTATCCTCTGTGAATTTACCTGGTGGAGAACTTGTAAGACATTCATTTATTTTATTTTCTCAAATGTATTTAGTTGTTAACATTGTATACTTACCTGTGGAATATAGAGCCCCAGCTTCACTACAAAATCCAAAGAAGGATCTGCAATGTAATCGATCCAGACTTGGCATCTCAACTCCAGTCATTTTTTCACAGTTGTAATGTGGCGAGCATGTAGTGAGCTTGCCAAACACTGCCAGGTTTCTGATGACACAGACTTCACCTGTACTGCATAGGGAAGGCATACAAGCTGAGCCTGTGAGTACCCCACACAGTCAGAAACCAATAAGCCACAATGAGTGACAGCGTGTTTCTTGTTACTGAAATGTAACTCTATTTGATTGAGTGCTTGCCAGTGACAAAAAGTGGGTCCTGTATGACACTCTCAAGTGTGCTAGACATTGGTTGTCACTCTGGGACTCTGTGCCTCACACCACAAGTTCACTTCTACACTGACGCAAGATCATGGTCTGTATCTGGTGGGCTAGTTGACAAGTGGTATACTATGAGTTGCTACCAATGGGCCAAACCAGCACTGCAGACCTGTACTTGCAGAAGTTGGGACATGTGCAACAGGTACTGAAGCAGAAGGAGCCAGCATTGGTTAATTGCAAGGGTGTACTTTTCCTCTATGACAATGCCAGGCCTCATGTGGTATGAATGGCCAGGGATACCATATGGTGACTTGGCTGGAAGACACTGTGGCACCCACCTTACTCCCCAAAACTTGCATCAACAGATTACCACCTCTTTCATTCCCTGAACAACTACTTTCATGAGAAATCCTTTGTAAATGAGGCCGGCATTTACAGATTTGTTTGCATCCAAGACATCTAATTTTTATCGCCAGAGAATTGCACAGCTGGAGGTATGTTGTCAAAAGGTTCTGGATGATGATGGGTTTATTTTGAGGATTAACGGTATGTCAAATTTGCTGTATACTTTTTTTTTTCTTAATAAATAAAAAATGGCAAAGACTTTTTTGATTACCTTGTATTTGATGCAATAAAAGAAATATTTACCATAAACTTTGTGGTACAAAGCAATTACAACCCTTCTCAATCCTCTGGCATTTGCAACCATGTCTTAACGAGTATTTATTTATAATTGATGCTTAAGTGACAATGATTACACAGGGTTTTCATCAGAACCATTTATTTTACTACATTCTCTCCCTTGTTAATTACTGACACACAGCTATAAGTTCATAAACATAAGTTTAAACCTCCTGGAGCATCTGGGCTGTGATCTACAAAGTAGATTTTCTTCACCAGAGGAAATACAACTCTTGATTCGACCACTGGAGGTGCATTTTAAATTCTATCAACTATTTCTGAGACAGCCACAGAAATATTATTCACTTCATCACTTCTAGATTCTATGTAGTATTAACAATGTCTGCTTGTAAAGGTCACTCACCAGGGGGTGTATTCTGGATACAGTAACGAGATTTGGCAATAAAACCCTGATTAATTGCTATTCCCAGTTTCACTCTGACTTGGGGTGGTAACAGCTGTTAGGGTCCCAGCTATAGACAAATAGTTAACCCCCTAACAAAAACAAAACACTATGAAAGTATAAAAATACATTTTTATAGAAAAATTTGCCAACAATACTTATTTATCTTAAAATGACCAACAATACATTTTATCTGTAGTTGAAGGCATAAAATCATGTTCAACATATTAATATTTTAGCATTAAATAACCCATAGAGATATTGATATGCTACTAAATAAAATCAGCCAACCAACTGGATACAGTAATTTCTTAACCTTCTGTTAAGTTAATGTGAATGTATTTGCTTCAATATTTATTTTGACAAACATTTCATGTAAGCTAGTACTAAATCTACTTAGCCATGAGAGAATATATTGTCCTGATGCAGATTAGTGTGCATATGTTTGAGTAGGTACCTTGATTTCTTTTATTAATTACTAGCTGCACTCTGTGTGGACTTTTAAATTAGCTCCTGTGGAGGGCTAATTGGGCCTCTGGCTTGAAACTAAAAGGACCTCTGATCCAGCTTAGAAAATAATGATAATTTTGAAGAAATAACTTTGAATTCCACAGTTTGCACCATGGAACTTCAAAACCCTCACTTTAACTTCAATTTGGACTATGTCCAATTCAGACCAAAAGACTGATTTGGAATGAAATTCAAATTTGGGCTGAAAATTGAGTTCTCCAAATTGAAAACCTCAAACTTCAAAACCTCACTTTAACTTCGATTTGGACTATGTCCAATTCAGACCAAAAGACTGATTTGGAATGAAATTCAAATTTGGGCTGAAAATTGAGTTCTCCAAATTGCAAAACCTCACTTGATTTAACTTCAGACCAAAAAAATTTGAATGAAATTCAAATGAAAAATTGAGTTTCAAATTCATATCACAGTTCTCGAAAGCTCAAACCCTCACTTTAACTCTGGTTCCTTGGCATTTTGAAGAAATAAAATTGATTTCCTCACTTCACAAAGTTTTGGAGATATTTTAAACTGAATTTAAAACAGAAATTTTTAAATTCACAAAGTTTTTGTGTTGCTTTAAACTTAATATAAATTAAAAACGTTTAAAATCACTAATTTTTTTTCAGTTATTTTAAAATTGGAATTTTTAACTGTTCACTCATCCAAATACAAATCCCAATGCTGGATGTTCAAGCACTAAATGAAAGGCAGATTTTCAATCCCAGGATCATCCTGATTTCAAAAGGGCATAATGTGTATGTAGAGCAAGTGTGGTCAGAGTTAGAGGATTTTTGATTCAATCACATGGACGGACAAACAGAATTTGATGTTTATTTAGAAGATTATCATTTTTCTTAAATTATTGTCTACTGGCCTAGTGGTTAAAAGGCTTAGTTAAAGAAAATGTTGAATTGGACCTGTATTCCTTTTTTAATTTAGGAAATGACTTTAAGTGTACATTACCATATATATATATATATATATATATATATATATATATATATATATATATATATATATATATGTGCGTTGCCAAGTGGTTAGAACATTTGCTTTCTGACCATGAGACCTGGGTTCGAATCTCACCATGGTTGATTTGTCAGGAAGGAGATTTCCTGATGTTAACATTCTGGAGGGGGATCTCAGTGTGCGGCACCTTTGGAAAGTGGCTGGAGACCATACCATGGGTTGACCCAGTCCTTGTGATTGAAATTGGGTAGACAGAACACTTGGGGGCTGTCAATAGCTGTGCAGGCACAAAATCACAAGTCATCGTGACCAAGGGTTTGAGTGTGCTGGCCTTGTTCAGATTGTTGATCATGCTAAATAACATGCTCTCTCCCAGAAACTGCAGCTAAGGTCTGCTCAGCAATGTTGCAGTATAAACCACAGGTGGGCTCTGTGGGTGTTGAACAAACACAAATGTGCCCGAGCGAGCCTCTGCAATAGGGATTGGCTAGCCACCCTAGTAGACGGGTATCCTCAAATATGTGTGGCCAACGATTTTATATATATATATATATATATATATATATACACACACACATACACACACACACGCACATACATAGGCTGTCTCCCCAAAAACTGACATCATTTCAAATATGAACATGTGAGTAATTATATGTCCCAGGCTAGCAAAATTAAATAGGCTTTATGTTGAATAATAAAAGATTTATTGATCAAAATTGGAACAATCGTTTTCACAAACCTTAAAAAATGTTCAATATTCGCACCACCTGTGACATGGCGCACATCAATTCGGTCGTCCAGCTCCTGCCAAACACGATGTACCGTGTCTTGTGTAACATTCTCCACTGCCTCAGTGATTCTCTGCTTAAGTTCCTCTAGGCTTGTAGGAAAGTGGAGGGGGGGTGATATAGACATGTCCTTTCATATAAAAAAAAATATCACATGGTGTCAAGTCAAGTGAATGTTGTGGGCATTTCAATAGTACATCGTCATTATCACTGGCATGCCCGAACTATCTTCTCATTAAGTCCAAATTAGTTATTGCACATTTTGTTAAAATTTGAGATGATTTGAGCTAAAATTGGCTCTTATTAGACTGTAAAATGATGTCAATTTTTTTTTTTTTTGGACACCTTGTGTGTGTATGTGACTTGTTCTGTCGAGTGAAGATGGCTTAATGGTAGAAACTCTGACTGACACCAAATTGGTTGGGTTTCAATTCGGGCTCGAGACTTTTTGTTGTCTAGTTGCACTGAGGAGCTGTGATGCAGCGAAACAGTACTGTCTGTGAATGGTATATATATATATATATATATATATAATGGATTTTTTTAATTTATTAATCCAACATAGTTTTATGACGTTAAACATTTTTTTGTGTATACCTATATTTGAATAAATGTTCCATTTATTTTTTTAAGCAGTATATTTATTTTCATCTACCATCCTGAATATTCAAGAAATCTTATTAAAGGCAAATGCACACTCTGGCAGGATTTGAACTTGCCATCCCTCTTTGCAGGAGAAACCAGTGTTAGATCTGACATGCTTTTAAGCAACTCGGACACAAAGAACTGACATTGATTAAATGAGGATGAATACAGCCTTTTAGCACAACCTTCTTGTTTTAACTTCCCAAAAGTTCATAAGTGTCCAGTTTTGTGTCCAAAATGTAAACAAAGCAATTTCTAAAGAAGTAATGGATTTTTTAAATTTATTCATCTGATATATTTTTATCACTTTAAACACTATTTTTTATATTTGAGAGACACTTTGTTTATTTTAATAAATAAATCAAGCATTTACTCAAATATGGATATCCACTGAAAAATAATGTTTAAATTGATATATATATATATATATATATATATATATATATATATATATATATGTATGTATGTATGTATATACTACGCACACAAAAATACAGTTGAAGAGTTTGAAGGCACTCCCAGAATTAGCATGGGATGAGTTTGACAGAAGAATGAAAAAGAATGAAAGAGAGCTCTTAGTCATTGAAAAAAGAATGAAGTCTATTATCAAACTTTTGCATGAATGCCAAAAATTTGTGCTGCAGTTATCAGAAGGATATTTTGACGAAAGAAAAAAAATAATCATAAAATGTTTTTTTCACAATAAAATTTTATTAAAAAAAAAAAAAAAAAATCATGTGTCACTTTTTTTTTTTTTTTTTTTAACCTGCATAATAATTTTTCTTATTTAAAGTACAAAACAATTAAATTTGTGGCCAATTTAAAAAAAATTACCAGGGTTGGACTCAAACATTTTAACTGTAGTGTGTGTGTGCAGACGTATATGCATATATATATATATATATATATATATATATATAATATAATATAATATATATATATATATGTGCTTAGTGTAATGATTATCAGCATGAAAAATAAAAATGGTGAACAGAACTCAAATTATGGTTGATTCTATTTCTTTTATTTTGCACAAATGTTCTTGGAAAAGATAAATTCACCTTTCTCCAGTTAAAGTTTAAATAGGAGTGCAGACTGGGTTCTCTTGTTTCAGGTGGTGGCCAGTCTAGAAAGAGAAAATCTCTTAATTCAAATTATGCCTTTCTTGATAAAGTCATATTTAAGTTAAGTGTCATCTCATTAGACTTTGGCATTATTTCAGAGAGGTTAAATTCAGTGACAATAAAACTTCTTGGCTGCTGTTAATACATTGTGGCTTTTGTCCTATAAAACTTATGTTTGGCACTAAAGAATTCAATGATGGTTGATATGTTGTTAAAATAACCAACATAGCATAATAAAGATTTGAAAACCTACAGGGTGCTCCACAAAAGAAAAAAAGCAGGAAATTCTAGATTTACTATAAGATGAAAAAAATTAACATATAAAAAAATTAACTCTCTTAGTTTTAACACCACATCTAACATTTGTGTTGTCGTTCTGTTTTAAGCTACTAAATTTCTATCCTTTGCTTTTGTTTCAAATAACTGTAACAAAAATTGCAACAATTAAATAAACTGTACCAAATTTCCTGGAACATCCTGTATTTTGAAAATTTACTTTTAGAAATTACTAATTTTTAGAAGCATTTTCAATATTTTTGTTTTGTTTTTACAGAGGCGGAGGTCAGAAGAAGATGAAAAGATGATGCGGCATTATTTAAAAGAGGGAGATCTGATTAGTGTATCCTTTTCTTTCCTCTGTGAAGTGAGCTTGTATTTGAATGTGCCAGGTTGAACTTTAACCTGTGGATTGAACTAATCTAACATATTTTTTGTTTTAAGATTTTGACAAGTTTTTACTTTATTTTATTATTTTTATTATTCTGCATTTTTTTTCTCTGTTCTTTAGATAAAATATTTTTGTCTCTTGAATGAAATTATTTAAAGACTAACAAAAATAGCCAATGAAAGCTCACCCACAAGAGATTGTCAATGCTAAAATCTATGAATTGACAAGACGTTATCAAGACAACATAGCAAGCCCTGGAACATAGCACATTCTCTTCTGATGATCCCAAGAACCTATTGATAGCCAGAACATGGAACATTTTATTGGCAGCATTTGCAATAGCAAGCTATTCTCAAATTCCTAGAAAATAAGCCAGATTTTAAGCAAACCTGATCAACACATGATTCTGTAATTTCCACACGCTTTGAAAAAAATCACTTAATTATGGTTAGAAACTCAGTGTCATGTGTGCAACAAAAACAATAAGATAAAGAAAAGCAATTGGAATGATGGGAAAACCAACTAAGTTTTGTAGTAATTAAAACTGGTTTTATTTTAGTTTTAGTGATTTGGTCAGTGGCTAAAAAGGAAAAAAAAAAACAAAGCCTTAACGGTAAAAAAGTTAGAAAGACTTCAAAATAACTTAAGTCAGCAGTTACTGAGTTTTGTGGCATAGTTTACAAGTCAGGTCAGTGAATGGTAGTAAACAGACTGCTCTGAAGCAAATATCTTCAACAACTGTCTTAGCTAGCCAACTTGCTTAATTTTAGCACCAACCAACGAATCCAAATGCCTGGATAAAGACCTTCACTTTGTAAAGTTATCCGACCACATCAAAGAGTTATTTATCTAAATGACCCAGAACTTGGAGAAGTTTCATTCATAAATATAGATTCTCTTAACATTGGGTCAGTGGTTGAAATATAAGAAGAAAACAAAAATGAGGATTTTTAAGAGTTGTTTCAGGATACTGTTTCTAGTCTTTTACTTTTGTTATCTGTTTTGACCAATCTATTTCCTAATCTTCCTCAGATGTTTAATCTAGATAGCATGGCAGAGTGGAATCTCCTCTTCTCTCTTTACTTTTAGGCAATGTGCATTAACACTGTAAAATAGAAGATGGTAGCAAATATACTGATTAGCCCAATGCATTATACAAAACCTCACAGTAACATGTGTAACACAGATAAGTCCATATTTTATATATGGGACTGCTGGACTATCTCTTTCTTGGTGAAGCAGAAAAATCCTGTAATGGTGAACACTCCCTAAGGATGTATATGGCATTGGTTGGACACAACCTATCATTTACCATATGGATTGTACACCTGAGGAAGATTAGTGCTGTTAATTTGGGGTCATCTTTTAACAGCAATTTAATGTTGTTGAATCAAAACATTTCAGCCTTTCTCCCAAATGGTCGTTCTTAATTGGATTGCAGATTATTCAAATTGTCAGATTTTTGTTAATACTGTCAAAAGTTTGAAACAAAAACAAAAAAATTAGCAATATATAAGGTGTATTGTTTTTTGGGGTTTCATTAGTTGCTGAGAGACCAAGACCAAGATTTACTATTAATTGCTGTTGTTCCCAGGTCCACCCTGTTGGGGTCAAAACACTATGAAAGGATGAAAATAGATTTTTATAGTAAAAGTACCAGCAATGCATTTGGCTCTCTAGAAAAACCCTCTTTACAAAAATATATCAATGAAACCTGATCTACAAAACTGATTTCTTACAAAGAATACATATTCTATTCATATGAACCTATCCTAAAAATCTTGTCGGCATTAAATAACCCATTGAGGCTGATATGCCGTAACACAAAATAAACCAAACCAAAATTTGCATAACCAGTGGGAATTGATATGACAAAATTATTTCATTAATTTCACCATCCCTGCTCAGTTGGTCCTGTCGGCAGAGCCTAGAAAATGCCAACTGCCTCCCCTGCAGAAGGGCACCACCCACCCTGCAAAAATGAAAAAGGTGAGTACTTGGATGCTTATGGTCTCAGGTCTGGGCAACCCATGTTTACCTTAGACTCTAGTGTAAAGCCAACCCATGTTTACCTTAGACTCTAGTGTAAAGCCAACCCATGTTTACCTTAGACTCTAGTGTAAAGCCAACCCATGTTTACCTTAGACTCTAGTGTAAAGCCAACCCATGTTTACCTGTAGGCTTGAGTGTAATAAAAAACAAATTCTGACATTGGGTAATGCAATAGGTGTTAATGTTGTAAAATCCCTCAACCCTGCTCTTGAAATGTCCAAGTGTTTTTGATTGTTTTTTGGCAAGAAAATGAAAATTCAACATAATTTTTTTTTTCTGTTTAGATCTCTAGACTTTAAAATTATGGACATTAGATTTGGGTAAGGGCTTGCAAAAAAAGACTTCCAAGTTAGGTTGGCATATCATTGGATTTTGTACTATTATCGGTGTCCAAATACTAGTGATTTTTGCTAGACAAAGTTAAGCTTAGTAAATATCAATCCATATAAATAAAATACCAAGATGGAAAGTACAATTTCAAACCTGGCTGAAGGTAGACCAAATGGATTTTGAAAGCACATCTATAGTATCAAGCAAGCAATGTAGCTTTAAGAAAAAAAAATATATCAAGAAAGGTTTTTATTCCTTAAATGACATTGTAAATTTAGAATAAGAATTATCTGACATTTCGCAAGAATGTTTATTTTTCTTTAACTGACACAGGCAGAAGTCCAGTCTCTCTTTATGGATGGTTCCCTTTCCCTTCACACCCGCAGTCTCAAATATGGAAAGGTAAGTATTCTGGTGAGGAGGCATGGTGGAGTAATGGATTGAGGAATTGGAAAGCTGAGTTCGAATTCCAGTCAAATCCATTACATTCACTTATGTGCTCATACCCTTGGGAAAGATATGAATCCTCTTCTATAGAATCCGGTTTGTCCTGCTATTTATTATTTGGATGGCAACTGGTATACCGCAGAAAGAAATGGCAACCTACTGCTGGAAAAAAATTTACCTTGTCAGTCATCTATTGAAAGCTAAATGTATCGTGCATAGCACATGACTGGGTATTCTGAGTTATAAAACCCATTGTATCCAATATGTCACTTTTTTTTTTTTTTTAAATTCGTTGGTGAGTTCATGAGATCTTTGGACCATATATCACTACATTTTTGTTAAACAAAAAACAAACAAGGTAATAAAGCAATTAAAGCATGACGGGTTATTGAGTGTGAAAGAATACTTCAGTAATTTTTGCTCTAGTCAAGTATTGGGCTTTGTTCGCAAAAATTCTGTTCACCTTGATATATGTTTATCAAAGCGACACTTATATACACTAGCTTAAAAGCTGCTTTATTGGGTGACATTTAAGCTAACTCTAGCAGAGGTCTTTTAATTAGACCTTGCTCAGGAGTTTGTGAGAGTCACTAAGTTTTTGCATATTCTCAGCATTGGAAGGTCTCCTGGCTACCATTTGATTTGGGTTTTCATTTGCACAGGATTTTCTTTTCTTTGACACTTTTGATTGCAATCTGGTCCTCTGTTGGCGGAGATTTCTTTTTGCAAAGCATACTGCTGCCGTATGTGATAGGCAACAATAAACTGCAGGAGAACTCAAAATGGATTGCTGCATTTAATTATTGCATTAATATTTAAGCTTACCTTTTAAAATTTCAACGATAATTGTTCTGCCACAACTAAATTTAAAGACAATTTGATGCCTGTAGATCCTTACTTTCCGTCCAAACAACTATTTTTATTTCATGGGTGACTTTCGCTGAATTTCACAATTAATTTTAATTATTCCCAAATTTATTTCCAAGTTATAAAAATTATCATACAAAAAATTTGTTGTAAAACATGTAAAAAAAAAAAAAAAAATCACCAAAAACAGTTGCAGTAACGAAAACTTGGGAATCTGAAATTTCTGTAACATGGATGATTAAAGGTTAAAGAGATGTGTCCCTTTAATTGAAAAAGTTTGATACAGTGACACACTGATATTTGCATTTATTATTATAAGTTGAAGATCAAATGTAGATCAAGTATGGATAGGAATCAAAAAGATGATTAAAAAAAGAACAAGTAGAAAACATATCTCAATCTAACACGTTTCACTTTTATTAAAGCTTTGTCAGAGATTGAGATAGAAATGAGAAAAGCAAAGACACAGAGTACTGATATGTTATAATTTTTGGTTAGATCTCATTGGTCAGATACAGGTCACATGCATTAACACAATAGATAAAATATAAATATGTGTGAGGAACATTTTGGATGTTAAAATGTATAATAGTGAATGAGTATGTATGTAATGAAACACTTGTGTGTCTACATGTATGTTGGATGGTAATGTTAATTCATGTAAGTGTATAATTGTGTGTGTTATGAATATTTATAGATGTCATGAAATGTAGCAATAATCTTGTATTTGGTTGTCTTGCATTTAGACAGACATTCTAACTCTCTTGTCTTACATCGGAATGATTTTGGACATTGATTTCACTAATGCCAGCCTAATTAAAAAAGAATCTAACCCTTTAAGGAGAAAATATTATGAAAACATATTTAAAGCATTACTACCAACTATAAACACTCCCTTAAAATATTACATCACACCACCATCTTTCTCCAGATCCATTATTCATGAATCTAACTTATGTCTATTTTATACATAGAATAATGAAAATATAGGAATGCTTTTCAAAACATACACAAGAAATGCTTTAATGATAAATCTAACCAAAACATGATTATTACAATATCTTGCTGTATTTCACTGACCCATACATACACTTACACAAGAATATAAAAATCCAGCCAAATACAAAATTATTGCAACATTTTGCTGACATACATGAGTGACATCTATAGATATTCCTCACACACATACGCACACATGAATTAATGTTACCATCCAACATACACCTAGACACACAAACGTTTCTTTACATACACACTCATACACTATTGCACACTTTAACACCTAAAATGTTCCTCATGCATATATTATCTATTGCGTTAATGCACATATCTGACCAATGAGAACTAACCAAAGGTCATAACATATCAGTACTCTGTGTCTCTGCTTTTTTATTTCTATCTTGGTCTCTGATGAAGTTTTAAAAAAAGTGTAAGATTTTAGATTGAGTTTCATTTCCTACTTGTTCTTTATTTTATCACACACATATATATATGCAGGGAAGTGAGGTTTCATTTGTTTTTTCAAGTGTGGCTGTAATTAAACTCTCGATCTATCCTTTGTTAAAATATTGCCACGAAATGATTAAAACCTATCAATGCAATGACGCAGATTTCAATAAAGGATACATTCAGGGTCTAATTACAGCTACACTTGGAAAAAACAAATGAAAATACTTCCTAGCAGATATTATATACGAAATGACATTATAATGTAATTGCAGCATTGCTCCACCTGTGTGATAAATTGGTAGGTGACTTAATATTGACCCTAATGAGTAGTTAAAAGTATAAGTTTAGTTGTTTTTAAAATTTGTTCTTTGCAGCTTGGTCAGGGGACATTAGTGACAGTATCACCTTCTTTAGTGAAACGCCGCAAGACGCACTTTCATAATTTACCCTGTGGAGCAACTATCATTTTGGGAAATAATGGTTACATCTGGATTGCCCCTATTTCGGGAGAAGAAAATGAAGATTCAGCTGGAGGAGGATATGAACAGAATCTGGAGGTAAGAAATTTCCATGTATTCTTCCTGTTTCCTTACAAAGTTTATCTTACTTGGCCAATTTGTTCATTGTCTAATGATTGTGAAAATATCTCTGTATGCCGTATAGTATAGCGTTCCAATATACAAGGTGTGAAATGAGAGCCTGAAAAAGAAGTATGCATAATCAGGCTGACTGCTTGTTGGCTATTGGTTTGGCCTTGTTGGGTTGATAGTTGAGTCCTTTCACTTTCTTTATTCACAGGAGGTCATTTTCATGGCCTAATGGTTGGACGGGCAGTCAGCCATGTTCTTGAGTAGCCTCTATGGTTAGCATGTGTGTGTGAAGTCTCTTTCTCTGTTCACTGTTCTGCTTCTGTTATAGCCTATATAAGGGAAATGCATAGACATAGTTGTAGGTATCTGTGGCCAGTGAGAGTCTGGTTGATAATAGCCAACACTCTGGTATATTTGTGTTTGTTTTAAAATTTGTTTTGTGTAGAGTGTGGCATGTGTGTATTTAGAGATGTTTTCTAATAATTGTATAAGTTTGGCTTTAATTTGTTATCGCTAACTATGTATAAATTGTTTTCTGATGCAATTGTTGTAAACTATAATTAGTTAGAAGTATCCACTACTATTTCTATAGTAGTTTAGTCTTCAGCTGTATCAACTGCTATTTATATGGTCAAGATTTGCATATAAATACAACAAACTCCCTACTTTTTTTTTTTTTTTTTTTTTTTTTTTTTTTTGACAATATAAATTAGGAATACTAATTTGGGCTAGGGGCGTTACAGCTTTCTAGTTCAGCCTCTTCAGTTGAATCACTAGAAACTGGTTGTGGTACAGTATCTTCTGATTTTGGTATGTTATTTCCATCCAAATCTGGTATAGGGTTATTTAAGACTATTGTAACTGCTTCAGGTTCGGAGATTATCATGGTTTCCCAGCAGGAGCAAGGTGACATAGAAAAACAGCGTTTTCTTTTCCATTTGGTAATGTAACAGGTGTGTAATTTGGATTCACCTGAATCAGCACAACTTCTTGTACAGTAGATTTGTACTTGTTGTTCTGAACGTAGTTTCTCATGAGCACTTTCCCAGGAATCATCAATTACGAAAGAACAGATGTTCTGGTTGAGTGGCTTTGATTAATTTGCTGCTTCCAATCACAAATCTTGGCTTTTTTACGGCACACAAAATACATTATTCATTCATTCTCTTTACTTCCTCTATTGAGTAGGACAAATTTCCTGATTTGTTAAAGAGAAATCCTTTTTGATACTCCAAGATGACATAGATGTCATTCTTTAAGGTTGATATTTATAACAAGTGCAATGTACACTCATTGAAACATCTAGGGACATCATTTTTGATACTCCAGGATGACATAGATGTCATTCTTTAAGGTTGATATTTATAACAGAAGTGCAATGTACACTCATTGAAACATACATTTTTGAAGCCTGGTCGATATCTGATACCATATTCCTAAGTGAAAATTTCAGGAATGAATTTTGTCATTTTTAATCTTTGAAGCTTATCCAAAATGTAGGATAAAGCTTTTTGGTCAATGACAAGAATAAAATATTTATCTTTCAAGTAATGGCTCCATTTCTTAATTTCTTTGATGATTGCATTAGCTTCTTTCTCTATTGGGGAGTGCTTTCATTCAGAGGGATTTCGAGTTCTGGACCAGAATGCAACATGGCTGCCTCCTTGATTTACCATCACAGCTAAGCTCATGTAGTTGCACCAGTTTCAATTTCAATAGGTTTTTCCTCATATAGAGTGTGTACTACAGCTCTTTCTAATTCCATATGGAATATTCTGTTGTAATGGAATTTTCACACTCTCCCTATTATCTATTGTGGACTGACTATATCAGTAAATATATGTAGTGTGCACAGGTCATGCCTGAGACTAACTTCGGGAAGTGCTAGCCAATTCCCTGTCTTCAGTAGTGTATTCTCTTTTACAATAAACCTCTCTCTCTCTTTTATCTACGTCCATGTTGCTGTTCCTTTCACTTGAGTACCACCTTTGTTTGTAACCTCTTTAAGGATACAATATATTCAAAGGAATCTTTTTATTTTAGAAGGTTTGGGGAATATAGTTTTGTTATTTAGCGTGAGAATTTTCAGCAAATAGTTTGGGATCCAACGACTGTAGTAAGCTAACATTCCGATGAGTCTCCTCTGAGTTTTTATATTGCCTGGGGGAGAGAGTTCTCGCAGAGGTCACATCCTTTCAGGGACTGGGTTAATGGTACCTTTACTTTATAGCCCAGAAGTTTAACTTTTGTTAGTCTTAAGGTCAGACTGTATTTTGAATCCATTCTTTGAAGCTTGCCAAGTTAGCGTCATGTTTTCACAAATGGTCGCATCATCTATATACGCAAATGTTCCCTTTGGGCTTTCCTTTTCGATTATTTCATCCAAAATTCTTTGAAACTCAGCCATTCCATTTGTGATCCCAAATGGCATCCTTTTGAAATTATACATTTTCACACCGGCTTCAAAAGCCATGTAAGGTTGGTCTACTTTATGTAGGCTAACTTGATGATAGACACTTTTTAGGTCTAGTTTAGAGTACAAACTGTACTTTGCTATTTTCAAAACTATTGTTGTAATCTTAGGTAGAGGATAGGCATCTTTTAAGGTAAAATGATTTATCATTTGTGAATAATCGATGACTAACCATTTCTAATTTCTTATCCTTAGTTATCACTACTTGAACTCTCCACAAAGATCTACTAGGTTCAGTGAATCCGAAAGATTTTTATTTCCTTCCTTATAAATGTCTCCTCTTCTTTAGAATATCTTCAGGATTTCACAGATATACATCTACAGTCAGGCGACAGGTTTTCAAACACAGGAGGTGAAATCCTCATGCTATTTCACACAGTATATACAGTATGTTTATATTAGAGGTGGCCTGTCGTTCTCCTATAAAATTTCTATTTTTTTTTTGTGCAGTTCTTAAAAGTCTTGTCCGAGGATCATAACTAGCATATAAATTATACATTAAGGATAAATTAAATTTTTTTTGTAAGTTTCATACTCACTGTAAGGTTTACTTTACATTTTCCTACAGTTTTTAATAACAAGTCAGAAGAAGCCATGCTGATGGTAGTGTTAGTAGGTCTAACATCCAAACCCATAGACTGATCTTATCTTGGTGTTGATAAAACTATGGTTGCTTCCTAAATCTGCTAGTGTTTTTTTTTTTGTTTTTTTTTCACAAATCATTTCACAATGGTTTTCAAAATTCTCTGTAGCCTGGTAGTTACCGTGGCCATGACTGGTAATGCAGCAGAAAACTTAGCTTTCAAACGATAAACTTTAGCAAAATGACCATTCTTCTTGCAATTGTAGCAACTTGTTTCTTAAGCTGGACACTTACTTCTAGGGTGGCTAGTGCTTCCACAGAAAAAGCACCTTTCTTTTAATTTTCTTTGATTTTCTTCTTGAGACAGTTAAGCTGTTAGTCCAGGGTTTTGATACTGATGTCATTTGATAAAATTGTTTGGGTTTCAGCAAAATAGGCTTCAGAATTTAGGATAAGCCTTTTCCCATACTTTGCAATTGATTTCCAGCTCCTGTGAGCATTTTGTTTTCAAGATGTCTCTGCTGAATAGGAGATGTGGATATTACAGAAATAAAAACACCTCTAATAGCTTTCTCTTTGTAAACCTGAGCAATTACAAGCCTTTTTCTTGGGGGAAAGCTCTCTTTAGAATGTTAATAGCTTCTTCAAAGTTTGTACATTCACTGAACAGTTTGTATACATCAGGTGCAAGAAACCTGAAGAGTTCTAAATGCGAGAAAAGAAATTATTAGAATAGAACCTAGTTACCAATCTTAGTAGTATGTTTAAATTTATGCAGTCGAGGTACCTAGAAAGATGCTTTATTAGAATATTTATAGAAAAGACAGAAGGAAGCCACTTTGTGGAAAGTGACTGAAGTCGATATGCCAGGTCAGGACTGATAACATTACAGACCCATCTTTGGATATTGTCAAAAAGCTTGAGATATATAACCAGGGCACCAGCCCAGATATGGCAACAGTATTCATTACACAGACGAATGGTAGATTTATTGTTAGAAAAACTTTATTTTTTATTCATACTGCTTGCTTAATGATTGGAGAAAGTCAGAATGGCATGACCGTTGAGGTAAAATTGTAATAAGATGTTGGAAAATCTAGTTGAAAATAAAAAAAAATAATGCTTTATTTCAGAAATATGGTTAAAAACAATATCTGTGAAATTTTCGAATTTGGTCTTGAAGCAAGAGTTACTTCCCTTACACCAATGAAAACGTTTTACAAATGCTTATAATATTTTTTGTTGTTTTTAATAAATTTAGCATTATAATTTGTTGCTATAATTATGACACAGTGGTCACAATATCCACCATATTTTGTTAAAGATACATGCGAATATCCTGAAGACATTTGTTGCATGATTTTGTTAACTTTTCAAAGGGTGAAATTAAAGTCTTTCACGAAAGATTCTTCTATATAAATAAATGCAAAATTAGAGCTCAATTCTCCCACAAATTCTGAGGTTGAAAAGTCTCCAGTCAACCTCAGACCTGACTTATACACAATATCACTACAATAGTAACATAATGCAATAAATGAACTAATATAGAAACAAACAAAGATATACTCAGAGTGGGCTAATTTCAAATCCAACAGTAATAGTAATTTCTATTTACTCAAGGACTGAGATGCAACTAAGAGATGATAAATAGATGTGTTACAAACTCCTCCAGGGAAGGGTTTGTATTTACTTGACTCCCTACTGAGTCAGGTTGGGGAGCCTCTTCACTCAGGCCACTGAGCTGGTCTAAGCTGCTGATATTATCAGCGCAGGGACAAACCCCTGTGACTGGTAAGGATCAGAACGTGCATATCACTCCAAAGAGCGGTTTACACACTAAAAGCTCAATATCTGACTTATATATTATCTACTTCTAGGTGATATCACTTTTCAGGTTTAACTAATTTGCAT